TCATTTTAGCAGAGTCAAGGTCAGCTACGGAATATAATTTGGGCATTTTGGCAGAAAATCTGCCGTGACAGGTTGAAGCTACAATGTCTGTGACTGAAATCAGTATATTGTGGGATACATCAGTTGAACATCAGCTGCAAGGTTAGCTTCGAAAACATCGATGAATAATATGTCATTTCCATCTGCATGCCCTTGAAGGTTTTTGGCATAGCACAGGCAAAGTAATTGTAGGTATTAATCTTGAAGATATGTTTTTTTGAGAGTATCATCCAAATGTTGTGAAGGAAATTAGATTCTAAAAATGTTCAGGGAGGAGATTAATATTCTGGCAGTAATATTTCACTAGCATGCCCTTGCTTGCTTTGTAATATGTAATATAATAATAATCCTTTGTTTGACATAGGGTCTTGGAGTCCTGTAGCTCAGTGGTTAGAGCACTCGCTTTGCAAGCGAGAGACCTGAGTTCAATTCCAGGCAGAGGGCGAAACCTCGGGCAAGTTTCCTTACTCCACACAGAGCCTAATAATAATCCCTCCAAAACCAAAAACAATAATAAATTGGTCATTTTCAATCTACGACTGTTTGTGGGACATTGCTGTGCGCAATTGGCTGCCGCGTTCGCCCACAAATATACAGTCAATTCACTTTACAGTGTGTTCTGTGAAGCGCTTTGGGACGTCCTCCCGACGTGAAAAGCGCTATATCAAATGCAAGGATTATTATTATTATTATATTATTATTATTATCAAGTCTTCTAGACGTCTCAAAGCGCTTCACAGGATATACTGTAAAGTGAATTGTTTGAAGAGCTCATGGTTTAATTGTCCCTGAATGCCACGTACTAATTGTCTCTGATCTTCCCTCAGAGCTCTGGTGTGGAAGCAAACCCTAACTGAAATCGTTAATCAGTTGCAGTAAAAATGTACAATAACCTGGACCAGGGTCATAATCACTCACACACCACGGAGTGAATAATAACATCCAGTTGACTGCAAAAGCTGCTCACCGATGGTTGAACAGAAATTATCCTTGTTCATAAATCGAACCAGGCCACGACTTAGAAATGGATCAAGGAATAGTTTCAGTTGAAGATGTTTTATTGCTCTTCCACCTTCTCAAAGAGAATGCGTCTCTTCGGGAAGAGAGTGCGTATTCCATTCCAGGTGGTGGAACTCTCAGGCTAGTTGGTTTAGGTAATCTTAAACTCTGTGATAGGTTTCCGCGTGTGTTAGGCACCGAGCTAACTCTGGATGTTCTCTCCACCATACTGCAAGACCCAGCTGTTCACAACATAAGTTAGTGACAGCAAACAATTGACACTATCAGCACTGGTCGGCGCTGTGAGTCAGTCTTGTGTCGCTAATCTTATCGACTTAGAAGATATATGCTTCAGATGTGCGCACCATCAAAGTTGTTGCACTGAAAGGCATTTCACCCACTATAAGTTTCAGCTGAGATGATTATTTCCCCAAGGTCTGGTGGAGTCCTGTAGCTCAGTGGTTAGAGCGCTCGCCTCGCAAGCGAGGGACCTGGGTTCGACTCCAGGCAGGTTGAAATGTTGGGCAAGTTTCCTTACTCCACACAATAATTCCTTAAAAAAAACTAATAAATTGATCATTTCAATCCACGATTCTTTGTGGGACACTGCTATGCGCAATTGGCTGCCACGTTTTGCCCACAAAATATACAGTCTATAATCAGCCTACACTGCCGGCCTATAATCAGGGGGTAATTGAACCATGAAATCTTCAAAACAATGCAAAAGGTCTTGAATTTCAAGTGAAATGAACTCAGCATCTGTTGTAAATGAATGACCTGCATGCACAATAACAGACAAATTTGGGGTATCGTAGTTCCTGAGGAAAGAGCCGCTCCTGGCTAATTTCCAGGGGTTGCAGTAACATTGGAAGGTTGTCCCCTGGTGAGCATTTAGCTGTCGAACTGGATCCTCATATCTACATTTAAATCTGTTCTTAGCACTTGTTCTGTTTAGCGCTAATACAAACAAGCCAGTAAGAAAGAAAATCTGCCTGTTTGCATTAGGAAATCTATTGGGAGCTACTCCCAAACCTGACATTGTCTTCAGACTCCATATGCTGAGTTGATATCTTGTGTTTTCACTTTAATACATAAATGTTAACTTGATGTATATATTATTTCCATTGGAGATGATCATTATTTTGTTCATTCATTGTTAGATCTGCAAAATTATGCGCATTTTAATTCGCTTAATTATTTCTTTCACTTTCATTGCTTACTCTGGATTTAATGATTATTCTAGCATATATGTACCTTTTTGATAAAAGCTTCTCATTGTCCTATTTAAAGTTTGCTGATATTATTTCTGGCGCGAACGGCGCTATACAAATGTAATTTTGTTGCTGCTGTTGTTGTCGCTACACTAATCACTAAAATATAGTGAAATTAAGTAATATAAATACACAATTCAAAACATGGGACTTCTGTATAATTCCTACGGCTTACGTTTCTGGACAGGAATCACAAAACATATTATTGGGCTTTTGGGACCTGTGGATATTTCTCAAGTCCGGCATCCGGCCCTCGGCAGCCAAAAAGTTGAACCGCCCTGTCCTACAGAAAGGATCCAGGAAAATAAATCCAGGAAAATGTATGGCATTGCTATGTATCACCACTGGATGGAGGTCTATCAACTTGTTGCCTTAATTTTGCTGTGGATTAAAGTTGAATGGAACTACTTGCTGTTAAGATGACTGGGAAATTCTTCAGTCCCATCAAAAGGGGCATCACAGTCACTAAACGAGCCTCGCGTCGTCACTGGCGTGAAATTCTGATAGGAAAACCCGACTTCTGTACAAACGTCATTTTGGTGCTGTTTTTCTTGTTGTTTTTCTTGTTGTGGTTGTTGTTGTTGTTGGTATCAGGCACCAGAACTTTGTAACAATGAAGTTTAGATGTCACCTTTTCACAAGCAATTTTGTAAGTACTTTGCCTAAAAATTGACGAGAGAGAGAGAGAGTGAGAGAAAGAGAGAGAGAGAGAGAGAGAAAAAAGAGAGAGAAAAAGAGAGAAAAAGAGAGAAAAAGAAAGAAAGAAAGAAATAAGTGTGCCTCGGTGTCCCATTAAGATTTTCTAGTAAGTAAGCCATTACAAGATATGTAAGAAACATGACAGGATATGCACATCCTGCACATTCGAGACAAAACCAAAGTATCCCCGAGCTATCTATTCTCAAAGTACGAAGCCCGCTGTGGAGGTGACAACCTTGAGTCAACCTCAGTCAGACAACTATGTATTTATCGTATTTATTCACCTTTTAACGCAGGGCAAGAAAGAGATGGGGGGTTTTTTTTTCTTTGACTTCAGAACAAAATTCTCATGATTGCTGCTGCCGTCAAGAGTTCACGGAAATCTATGTCAATTTGAATGTGTGTGCGTACACGTAGCCAAATCGTTTGTCGAATCAAAGTGCTCCTGTTGTGGCGCGGAGAGCGCAATATAAATGCAAGTTGTCGTTGCTGTTGTTGTTGTTGTTTTCTTTTGGTCAGCCGGGTGTCTGACACGCGCAGGAATTCATCACTACGCTTAAGAGCAGGCAAATCAACTACTGGGTTTCCCACAGGCAGTATTGCATGGCCATGTCCCTGTGTTTAGGATAGACTTACCTTCTCCAAATGTAGGGTCACTCATCCTGTAGCTCAGTGGTTAGAGCACTCACTTTGCAAGTGAGAGACCTGAGTTCAATTCCAGGCAGAGGGCGAAACCTTGGGCAAGTTTCCTTACTCCACACAGAGCCTAATAATAATCCCTCCAAAACCAAAAACAATAAATTGGTCATTTTCAATCTACGACTGTTTGTGGGACATTGCTGTGCGCAATTGGCTGCCGCGTTCGCCCACAAATATACAGTCAACTCACTTTACAGTGTGTTCTGTGAAGCGCTTTGGGACGTCCTCCCGACGTGAAAAGCGCTATATCAAATGCAAGGATTGTTATTATTATTATTAAGTCAAACACTAATTCTACACCTTCCACCTTGTGCTTCGTTCGCTTCTTCCGTGGGTTTTCGTTCGATGGGCCTGACCTTACTCTCGCTCTGAGCGATTTTGTTTTCGCTGAGAGCTGTGAAAACGCTACTTCAATGAGCGAGCAGTGAACTTACGGAACAGCCGCCGACCCCCCCCCCCCCCCCCCACCACCCCCACACCCCCACACCCCAGGGAGACGGAGGAAGCAGAAGATGCCGTTCGTTTCGAGAACAAATGAGATAGATTTCGGCTGGAAAATAATATCTGGGGACACAGCAGATAGTTTTTTTGGGGCACGACATGTCCAAGTGACTGCCGGGACGGTGGAAGGCGAACTCGATGGACCTCGGCCTTCATTTCACCGGCAAATCCTTCCGTTCTTCTGTCCGTCACCGTTGCGGACTCCGCCCGGTCCTCTCGGCCTCGCGCCGTGGCCGGCCGGCCGGCTCTCTGGGTGCTGGGCTCGGGCTCGGAGGGACGCGGGTTCAAGACGGGTCAAGGGAGGGATTGGGGGGGGATCACGGAAACGGGAGAAGGCCACTTAACCCCTCGATTCTATCAGAGGTCCCTCTGAGATTGTATAAGATCGGGGCTGAGCTGCACCACAAGTCCAATGACCCGCCCTTTGCCCCGAGATCCCTTGACGCCCCGACCCGACCCGACCCGACCGGACCGGACAAACCCCTATGCAGCTCAGTCTTGGAACACGTGAATGGATCCAACATCCACCACCACCACCACCATCACCATCACCACCGAGACCCGCCGCCAGGGGGCGCTCCGACCGCCACGCGAGAGAGAGAGGGAGAGAGAGAGAGAGAGGTGGACGGTCCGGGCACCTGCGCTGCCCGCGCAACCGAACTTGCTGTGTGTAAAAAAAATCAGAGCGGCCGCGGGGGGGGCGGGGCTCCGTGACGTCACAATGGGCTCTCCGCTGCGGCGCGGAGCTCAGCGCCCAGCACGTTAGGTTGTGTGGGGGCGGGGCCGGGCCGCCGCTTAAATACAGCACTGAAGTGAGTGAGTGAGTGAGACTGACCGACTGGGGCTGCAGTGGGGGGAGCAGGTAGGTGGGGGTCTGGGGGGGCAGGTGGGGGTCTGGGGGGGCAGGTGGGGGTCTGGGGGGGGCAGGTGGGGGTCTGGGGGGGCAGGTGGGGGTCTGGGGGGCAGGTGGGGGTCTGGGGGGGTCTGGGGGGGCAGGTGGGGGTCTGGGGGGGGCAGGTGGGGGTCTGGGGGGGGCAGGTGGGGGTCTGGGGGGGCAGGTGGGGGGGTGTCTGGGGGGGGTCAGGTGGGTGGGGGGGTGTCTGGGGGGCAGGTGGGTGGGAGGGGTCTGGGGGGCAGTTGGGTGGGTGTCTGGGGGGCAGTTGGGTGGGTGTCTGGGGGGCAGTTGGGTGGGAGGGGTCTGGGGGGCAGGTGGGGGTTTAGTCTAAAAAAAAGTTTTATCTAATATATATATATATATTGAATAAAAGCCACACATATCATATATCTATCTATATATATATATATGGCATTTATTTTGCTAAAGAAACTCTCACACACTGACCCCCTCCCTCCCTCTCTCTCTTATTACCCACTTATTCCTTATTTCTTATGCGATTTGAGAATTTTTTAAAAATTTTTTTTTGCTTTGAAATAAATCACTTTTCTTTTTGGGGGTTGAACCTGAATTGCTTCTCTCTCTCTCTCTCTCTCTCTTTCTCTCTCACTCACTTTCCTCCTCTCACTTGTATAAGTGGTTATTTTTTTCTCTCCAGAAGGTGACTTTCTGTGTGTTTTTTTTCCCCACTCACTGTGTTTTGGGAGATAACTTGTAATGTGAGTGTGTGAGTGTTTTTTTTGAAAAGGTGTTTATTTTGCTGTGAAACACTCATTAAAGGACTTTGTTTCTCTCTCCTTTTCTCCCATTATCCATTCCCTAAACTTTTGGGGATTCTTTTTTTTTAAAAAAGTCTTTTTTTTTGGAGCTGAACATAGATTGGATTGACTTGTACAAAGTGACTCAAAAGTCGTGATGCCATTACAATGTCTAATAAGTCTTAAGTAAAGGAGGATTTCTGCAAAATAAAACTTTTTGGTCACCCTGTAAAAGATTTTTTTTATATAAAAGGTGACTTGCTGTATTTTTTTTGGGGGGAAAGGCTCTTGTTTTGGGATGGTTTGTCATGTTTTGCTACTCACCTGATTTTTTTATTCTCCATCTGTGTCTGTGTCTGTCTCTCTCACTCTTCACAAGGTGTGTAAATCCCTGAAAAGTTTATTTTTGGCACTTGACGGGGAGACTTTGTATCTCCACTGCTTCCTGCGCCTTCTTAATCTTTAAATATCCTTTGAGTTAGAATTGTTTTCACTTGCGTAAACTTTTTTTGGGGGGGCGGGGGGGGGGGTGGGGGTTGGTTTCTGGTTGTGTACTGAGGGGGGAAAACCGTGATCTTGTTTTAATATTAAATGATAATGCTTTCAACTTGATTTATTCTCTATCTGCCTCTTTGGCTCCTTTCAGCTTCCTGGTTTGTTTTAAGTGATCATTGCTTTGGTAAGTTGTGGAATGGTCTGTTGTACTCTGTGGGGTTTTGTGTGTGTATTTTTTTAATGTATTAAAGTATCAATCAGTTTCTGTGATGGGATTATATTGAGTTCCTGCACAATGTTGCATGTGCATGAGACCGTGGAGGAGAGAGAGAGAGAGAGAGAGAGACCGAGAGAAAGTCTCTTTTTATTTAAAAATAAAATTCCAACTAAATACGAATTGCAAATCTAGGAGTGCAAATGAAGATTGCACGTCGGCAAAATGTTTAACTTCGATGATAGCGCTCGCTTAAACAGCTGCGATGCTCTACGGTTCATTTAAAAAGAACTGTTTCATTGAAAATCGAAGTTGACCCAAGTTTGAGCTTTTTGGACGTACTTTTTTTTTCATGACTTGAGTGTGTTGCTGCTCATGTGTTGGTTTTCCCCCCGCGTGTAAAGAATGGTAATGGCGAGATTGCTTGTTATATTTTCCTCCTGAAAAAGGAGATCCCTTGAAAGGAATTCTGACTGTGGACTCTTAAAAAATAATATAATAATATTTGCTTTTGAGGTAGCGCCGTATCACATCGCTGAAACGGCTCAAAGCGCTTCACACGATATACTGTCAATTGGAGCGACTGTATATTCGTGGGTGAAATGCGGCAGCCGATCTCACACAGCGGTGCCCCAAGAAACAGTCATGGATTGAGTGACCTTGCTATTGGTGTTTATGGAGGAATTATTATGTTATTAAGCACGGGGGGGGGAATAAAAACGGGTAGTGCACAGATTGTGTTGAGTTCCTTCACTAGGCTGACGAGGTTCCAGTGAGGGATGTGCTGAGGTGAGCTGTTGAAACTACCCCCTCCTCGCTCCCTCCCTTCCCTCCCCTCACCCTGACCATCTCCCCCCCTCCTCGCTCCCTCCCTTCCCTCCCCTCCCCCTGACCATCTCCCCCCCCCTCCTCGCTCCCTCCCTTCCCTCCCCTCCCCCTGACCATTTCCCCCCTGATGCTCGGGTCCTGACCCAACTGTCCAGCGCCTTGGGACGTCCTCCCGACGTGAAAGGCGCTCTATAAATTAAATGTTGTTGTTGAGGGGGAGGGATGCCATGTCCTGTATCCTGGCCAACAATCCTCCAGATTAATTCCTAGTTCACCTCTGAGGTTTTGGGACCCAGCTGATTCAAATCGCTGCTCTCTTTGTGTTTTTTTTCCAAAAAAACACTATACTTAACCGCTATGATCTGTGATCTACATTGATGTAATCAGATACTACTTAAATAAATACACTTTCCTTAAGAATTAATGAACAGAGGCTGAACTTTGATTTGTTTTTTTTTTGCAGAGTTTTTTGAAACGTCGACGGAAAAATGGGGTGCTTTACGTTTGTGAAAGTTATGATGATCCTCTTCAATCTAATGATCTTTGTAAGTACTGAACACAATATGTCTCTATCAGGCAGATAGATTGCAATCCTGTTAAGAGTCCTTGTAATCGGCAATAACTTTGTGGCTTTAATAGTAACCATTTCACACGGCCTTTGGTGGTCATCGTGTTAATCGGGGTGCAGGGTTATCGAGGTATGACGTCTTGTGCTTAACATTGTCGATGCACAATGTGATGCAAAAGCCAACTACCTGATTTAAGGCTCTTTTTGTCTATAAAAAAAATCTTTTTAAAAGATTCACATGTTCATCATCAGTCGTATAGTGGTCCTGCGTAAAGGGCAATATAATAAATGCAAGTTGTTGTTGATGATGGTTTTCCCAAATTTTGACTCTCTTGTTGACTCTGAAGACTGTTAAGAGTGAGCGTTTACTGAATTGTACCAGATTGAGCTGCGTAATAATCCTTGCATTTGATGCAGCGCCTTATCGCATATTTGAGACGCCTCAAAGAGCTTCACAGAATATACTGTAAAGTGAATAGGCTGTGTTTGGAAGCGAAATATAGTCCAGTGTCTGCCTTAGTTACTGTTGGTGAGAGCTTAACATGATCCTGCTTATGCACTATTTTATTGGTGAATTGTTTTCTGCTGTTGTAGAAACCATGTTGTTTACCTTTTAGTGGCAGCTTGAAATGAAGCTGGATCCACAAACAATCCAACCATCTACTCGCAGTTTGAAAGGTTTCTATGACTGTTTTGTTTAGCATTCTAAGATTATTATCTAATACCAAGTGGGAGGGAAAAAGTTGGAAGCGTTAGCCTTTCTTTACAGTGTAAGGACGCTATTCATCACGCCTATTGGAGATGTTCTCGGAATGTAATTTTGGCTCCTGAGGGACACGTAATTAGTGAAGGGTCAAATTAAAGGTTTGCTGAAACCATTGGGTTTCCAAGACGCAAGCTGATGAGATCTAAAGGGAGAGAGTGTGAATTAACTGGTTGTAAACTGGCTTCCTGGTGATAATAGTCTCAACTAAACAGCTGATCAGAGTTTAGGCTCCCCAAAGATCGTGAAAGACTTCTGCTAGTTGCTGTCTAAGCAACACAGACTTTGTGTCTGAGGGGAGAGAGATGATTCTACACAATTAAATTGCGTAACAGGCATTCTTTTTTAAAAAATAATTTGTCAATACATTTCTGTCAAGCCCAATGGGTTAGGCCACCGAATGCATTGTTAAATGTTCATACTGTCCTCACACCCAAGAGGCCCTGTGCAGCTTGTGACGTCACAAGAACATTGGATGACTGAGGTTCTTCAGGCCATTTGATCTCATCCCCTCCAGAATGCCACCCACCTTCCTCCCATCGCAGCTTCGAGCAGTTTCTTAACTTAGTCTTGTATCCTAGCATCCTGTTGCAGTTGTTAATCATTCTTTGTCAAGAGAAATTTCTTGATGTCTTCCCTGAAATTGCCCTTTGCAACTCCTATATCTATGACCTCTTGTTCTATTGTCTTGGTTTTCTTCGAATAGTATTACATGATGCTTGGGTGTAACCTTGTTTGAAGCAGAGGCAACTAGAATGTCATTGATAATGAGATCCGTAATATTGGTCTCCCTTCTTTGTAACTGGAGAGGTCAGGGAAATCAAGAGCTCCATTAAGTTGTATTCAATGGGGTTCAGGCAACTTCTTTTGTGTGTGGCCTGTAGTTTTTCATTCAGTTGCTGTAAAAGTTGTATCCGCTCTCTAAACGTGAAGCTTCACCAAAAGGACTAAATGCCAAACAATTGAGAACTAAATTTTGTACAGGAATTGTTATCCAAGAACTTCACTTTAGGGTACCAGGGTCTCCAGGAGAGCTCAGTGTGTGTGGCTGGTCTGCTCCTCACTGGTGGCCAATGCTGCTTTGTATTTAATGTTCAAGAGCCGGTTACCGAACTCTCAAAGTCAATGGAACGCTTGAGAATTTTGAGTAACTTTTCGAGTGGAGGCCACATTATTACCATGGAGCATCGCAAACCTCTTTGAAGCTCTTTGCAATGTCCTCCCGACGTGAAAGGTGCTACAATAAATATATATTGTGTGTTCTATTCGGCCTCAGGACTTTGCAACTGGATCTTCATTAGTATGCACACTTGTTTTTTTAATATGTGGTATACTTTACATGTCAGCTAAACCATATCAACTGTAATGAAATAAACCAGGCATAGAAACTTTTTTTTGAACCTGAATTCTATTCTTATTGACCCATAAATCTTTAGGTGTTTGGAACCTGCCCATATTTCTTGAATCCCTTGTGACATTCTCTACTGGAACACAATGCAATGTCATTTATCTCTTTTTTTTGGCTACATTTTGTAATTGTATGAACTTTTGGGCTTTGGAACTCCTCTTGATGTGAAGTGTTTTTTTTGGTGGGGTGATGGGGTGGGGGGGGGGGCGGTCAGCTGGGTGTCTGACGCACGTGGCAACCCATCGCACCGTGCTTGAGACTATCCAAATCGAAGTGAGTGCTATGCGTCCCACCTACACGTGGAAATTCCTGAGATATTTATTTGGAAGGCATGCACACTGTCTCGTCACAGGGATGCTTCTCTTGCCGAATTCCGGAGGGTATTAAGTGCAGGTTGGCAAGAGCCAAGGCTTAGGGACCTCGTAGGGTGTTGGGATGCTGCTGGAATTCAACCAAGTAAAGCGCTCTTGGGTGCTACCCTATGTGAGGGCCGCTATATAAATACAAGCTGTTGTTGTAAAACCACATAGCTTGCCTTTCACTGCAATGTCCGGCAAGATTTCCCAGCAGGTCCTATGTCAAATACAAGTATTACTATCTTTTGCTGACTGGAATCTACACTGTGTAATTGTTCGCATTTACAGATCCATATCTTCGTTAAAACCTACCGTTTAGGCTTCTAATTGAATAAAACCATGCGTTCGTTCCATGCATTTGTTGCCAGCATCTACAGGACAACCTAATGGAGAAATTGCCCATGCTTTGCATTTAAGATGACTGGAGTTTTATTGTCTACCCTTGGGTAAAGATTTTAATCTTATCCTAGTAGGTTATAACCTGTCGTTGATGCCTATTCTTTTTATTCCCTTAGCTCGGAGGAGGAGCCCTGTTGGGTGTAGGAATATGGGTCACCGTAGATGGGAGCTCCTTTGTAAAAGTGATTGGTCAAGTATCCTCTCAAGCAATGCAGTTTGTCAATGTTGGTTATTTCTGCATTGCAATTGGTGCTGTTTTAGTCCTCATTGGATTCTTGGGATGCTGTGGAGCACAGAAAGAAAGCAGATGTCTTCTTATAATGGTACGTATGCAATATTCTGCATTTTTGTATTGAACGTCGCTCTTTAAGTGGGCTAGATTTTTTTTCTTTAAAAAGTCATAAGTAGTCACTGTTGAGGCCAACAGAAGAAAGAGGAGGAAGGCAAATGGAATTGCTTAGATTTGCAGGAGCGAGCAGTTGCTATCTGGTATTTTTAAAAAGCTGGCAGAGTAGATTCATGCCTGAAATATCTTGAACAATAGCTTCCTGTGTGTATTTCGATGTACACAACCAAATGAATAACTAACAGTGAGCTGGGCACTTTGCATAACAAATCCAGCATAGATTGCTCTCGATAGAATTATCCACTGTGCCTCATGGTGTGAGATCTCATGTGGATTAGTTTTAATTGTAACCGGATTTTCTACAGGTCCCCATCATCCTTCAATTGGCAAACCTTGCCTACGAGGCAGTACAACTCTACACTGAGTTGAAAGTCCCAAGTGCAATGCTACAGTAAAACTACCTTGAGTTTTATTTTTGGTCTGGAGTCGCCATGACCAACAGAATAATTGTCTTTGTTTTCCTCTTGCTAGTTCTTTGCCATTGTCCTGATCATCTTCATTGCTGAGATTGCTGCTGCAGTTGTGGCTTTGGTGTATTCCTCTTTTGTAAGTACCTGATTACTTCCAACTCTTCAGTGAGTTAACAACACTTGTCCTATATCCACAACACAACATCCTGAGTGAAAGAGGGTGCGGGGGAATTATAATGTGCTCTCTGCCCCTGTATCTCTTGTAATTTGACTAAAATAACTAGGCTCAGAAGGTAGCAAAAAAAATCAAGCTATTTAATTTAGTTTTTAGTTCTGTTTGCTGCCCGTGTTTCTTCCCCCTCCCTTTCTAAATTTTAAACACTCCGAGATGCTGTCCGGCATGAAGGCCGATATATAAATGAGTTTCATTCCTGAATGAGTTTTCCCCTGAAAGTTAATTTAATGGATCGCTTAAATAGGCATTACCCCAAGAGTGATGTCTTGTAATTCAAAGGTATAATGCACCAAATGTATTTCCCTTCAAATTGTCTAACTGTGATGTAAAGACAAATATAAATTCTAATGTAACGTTACATATGTCCAGCCATAGATTTCATCACTACGGTAGTCTTATGCAATAATGATTTGTTAAATCTTTGGCTGTTTCAAAGTAATGTTGACTCATTGCCCATCACACCAAAAGAATGAACAAGTAACCTGTGAATTCTGTTAATTTGCTGGTAATTATAGTACTAACTAAGTATCGCTAAAACCATCCCCTGATAACCCTCATAAGTATGTTTCTGTCTTTCACAATACTACTATGACGTAATGAAACTTAGCATTTGCTCTGGTGTTTTCTCTGCACCAGAAACTGCAGTGAGATGGTTAACCATTAAATGTCAGGATACTTTTATGTGGTCATTTCTTTTACTTTCACTTGAAATGATTTGAACTTGTATTGTGCATTGTGGATTATCTTTTTACAGGCAGAAAGTCTTCTTAAGGCATGGGTTGGTCCTGTCTTGAAGAATGATTATGGGAAAGTGAAGGATGTGACTGGCATCTGGAATAGTACAATGAGTGAAGTGAGTTTTTTTTAAAAAAATTTAAAACCTTTTTGTGTTACTCAGAACAAGATCATAAGTTACTATTTATAAATCGCTTCAAATTGTGAAAGGGGATAGACTTGACATAGCCAAAATTTGAATTGCAAATTTTCTCGATTGATCATTCAATCTGGCTAAACCGACATCATAAATGGGCCTGCGTGGGTATAGTCTGTTCAGGTGAATCATCATAACTTTAGCAGTGTATTTTTTTTTAAAAAAGAGCATGCATATACCTTAACCGTATTTTGAGTTAACCAGTAAGCATCTTATAACATCGAAGCACTTCAGGATTGTACTGGAAAGTGTTGTGACTATTTGTAGGCCAACTTAACAACCAATTTGCGCAGCACAATGCCGTATAAATTGCCACGAGGTGAATGACACAATTTTATGTGGTTTATCTCTGGTTGATCTGTTACTCATTTCAAAGGTTTTTGAAAAATGAAGTGACGGTTTCAGCAACTTTGGGCTGTGCTTGCGATTCAGAATGTCCTTTCACTCTTTTTTTTGCCTTCCTAGCATGAACCCGATATGTCACTTTTGTAATAAAAGGTTAAGCTCACAATCATTCACAGAATGAATTAAAGGCGCTGGGGGACACAGCATTTTTTTTTCTTTTAACGGTGAGAATGGGAGTTTTTTTTTCTGCCACAAAAATAATTCAGAGCAGACGCTTTTAGAGAGGAATGTGATAGTTTCTTGAAAAGTAAAGGGGAAGACTCGGGAATAATGTAGTTTTGTTTGAAGAAAAGCACCAGCACACACTTGATGGGTTGGTGGGAATTGCCTGTACTGTAACCTTCTACAGATTGAATGTATTTAACGGTTTGTTTCTACAGTTGAAATGCTGTGGCTTCACCAACTACACAGATTTCATTGACTCTTACTACTATGAAAATAACAACAACAACTTGCCATCGTTCTGTTGCACAGGACTCCAAAGCAACTGTAGTATTGAAGTAGCGTCTACTGACTCTGTCCAGGTATGCAATACTATACTCCTATTCATCATCTTATTGCAACGCAAACCATTTAAGTTAATATGACGGCAGCGGCCGCTTTCGAGGGACTGTTCTGAATCTTGATGTGTTGTAGCATCTGGTTTTTAAAAGGTCTTTAATTTCAAACAGGGATGTTTTGAACAACTCTTCACGATTTTGAAAGAAAACGCAAATATTGTTGGTGGAATTGCGGCAGGTATCTGTGCACTGGAGGTAAGCTGCTTCACTCAAAGCTTTGCTGCTTTTTAAACTTGCTAGGCTTTCACCGATGGAATAATTGCTGTTTTTTTNAATATATGAAAGTTGGAAAGTGCATGTCTGGCCCAAGAATCCACACCTTTCTTTATGAGAACATTCTCAACCATTACTGCATCCAGCTACAGCAACAAATAACATTTGTGTAGCACCTTTCACGTCGGGAGGGCATCCCAAAGCACTGACACATCAGAGCCTCGTAGAATCTTACAGTACATCATCCCTGTCCCGGCTCTTTGAAAGAGCTACCCGACTAACCCCACTCTTGCAGGGCTGTAGGGTAAGATGAGTTGAACAGTCTCCTTCTGTGTTGTAAGATTCTGATGTGTTAGTGGTTGAGAATTTATTTTGAAAAAGTGACCCTGTTTGTTTCTCTCTCTCTCTCTCTCTTCCTGCTTCCCAACATTTTAGTCTTAATTACAAACTTCCAACATCACTGAGCTAAAGTAGTGGCTATGTATTTTCTTTAATTCCAATACTCATTCAGTGCTTATAGAAGCACTCGGTGATGTAGCTCAAATATCAGTAGCACGAATTCTCAGACCAAACGTGCACATTTCACTCCCCTTATTTAAGGGAGTTAGATCTTCAACTGGGGAAACGTTAGAATAAAAGGGAGAAAAATGTATTTGTGGCTTTGGTCATTATTTTCACAAGATCACCAATGACCAAGTAGAACAGCAAGATCTTGATGGGCAGGATTATCGGGTAATAAGCCTTGAAATGTATCTTAAGATTTGGGAATCTTCTGACAGATTGCAGCGATGGCTGTGTCCATGTACTTGTACTGCAAGATCGACGACAAGACCAGTGTTTGAGAGACGTACCCAGAATTATTTCACTTGCAAGTTTGTCCAACCTCCAGTCGTGTGGACCTTCATGAGGAAAACTAAGTGCCATATTGTGTATGATAACTTCTCAAAGTTTGAAGGTACTTGAAGTTTTTTTTAACTTTTTTTCAGGCACTATTTATTGTGCAATAATGGCATATAAAGGTCAGATTGAATGAAAATGTGTTCAGCCTTTGCATTAAATTTTTGAACTGGCAAATGCTGTATGAGACTTTCAGCCATTTGCAGCCCTGTGGGTCACTTTACGGACCTAGGTATCCTTTCATTCAGTGCAGTGACCTTTCACTTGAACCTGTAGCACTTGACTCTGATTGACCATTGAAACTTGTGCCTCTCTAGGACTATTTTAAAAATGACAACTGTCAAGCCTGTGTTAACGAAAACAAATCATCTCTCCCTCTCTCTCCTAGAAGTACTGTTGCAGTGTGTGACTCTAATATACACCAGGCGTAACAGTTTTTAATTTTAAAATATTGTCCGTACCTCCAGGATAATAGTAATAATATTGTATTTGATATAGCACCTGATCATGTCTTCGAGACGACTCAAAGGGCTTCACAGAATATACTGTAAATTGAGTTGACTGTATTTTGTGGGTGAATCACGCCAGCCAATGGATGTAAATCTAATGTGAAGGTGATCTATACAGTGGATTGCAGGAACATGTCCTTGCTCACTTCCTGCTAATTGCCTCACTTGTAGTTCATGCTTTGATACTTTCAAACCGCAAACTCATAAGAGGACACATATAAAGATTTCCAAAATTAGAAATGAAAGGCCTCCTCGGGTCTGGGATTTACTTACCAATTTTTTTTTCCCATCTGTTGATTTTGCGCTTCAAGATCGTACTGTTCTACATTGGCCACTCATTACTAATCCTAATGCCAAAGTTAATAATGGCCAATCTTCTAAGCCTTTTTCATCTTCTTCCCCTGCCTCACTCAAACTAGTTAAAGTGAACCTAATAAAAATGTACTCATTTGACCCAAATAATGCTCCCAGCCTTTCTATTCCTGCCTCAAACCCCACGACCTAATCCTTTTTATACCAATCTTACAACTGCATTCACTTAAAGCAAATGGCCCCAGTTTGCCTGGATTTCCTTTTAAATTATTTGCCTAAAAGGGGGAGATCAGGTAATCAGTAGTGAACAGGTCATTTTGTTGTGCACAATAGCCATGTTGACTATTTATGATGAGGGTTTCACTGCATGACCTGACAATCGAGCAATTTGTTCAGGAGCACCTCTTGCTCACCACTGTATAAAGTACCAGCGCTGATGTTTGAATTTTTACACATGTTCAGCGTGTTTTAAAATATTGTATGTACTGATTTACTCGATTGTTGGAGAATATCAAATTATTTCCTAGAACATGTTTTCTGTAAGTAGCATTATTCTTATAATAAAGATTCAAACCAAAAGACGTGGGGTGTTTTAACAATTTTTTTTAGATCTACGTATATTTAAAAAAAGGGGCAAGATTGCTTTTTGCAGGTGTATAGAGAAGAATAATGCGTGTGTTCTTTTGAGCGATGGATTGATTCAACTTGTTTCAGCATCTAAGAACATGTGATTGGATTTATCTCAGGTCTTGGTGTCCCCTTGCAAAGATTTACAAAGAATGGGCAGCATGGAAACAGGCCACTCCACACACATCTCCACCCATTCCTTACTCTCTTCTATTCCCCTCTCCTTCATTTGAAGGTCTAGCATTTTTCTCGAATGCATCTACGTTATCTAATTCAGGCAGTGAGTTCCACAATCCTGCTACCCTCTGCGTGAAGTAGTTCCTCCTAAATTCTCCTAGATTTTTCCCCTAATCTCTATCTTATACTTGTGTCCCCTAGTTTGTGGTCTCACTGGTCTCATAAACTAGTGGAAACGGTTTATTTATGCTATTCTTATTGAATCCTTCTATAATTTTAAACGCCTATTAGGTCCCCTCTCTAGTGGAGGGGAGCGGTCTATCATGATAGCAGCAACCTGCCAGTCCTGGGTATCATCCTAGTAAACCTGCATCGTTATTATTTCAGTTTCCAGTGTCAGAACCTTTAAAGGATCCAGTAAATCCAAATCCTGCTTGAAGGTCTGCTGGGCATAAGGTGAAATTTCCTGGTTTGAAAGAAAGGCGACTCCTCAAGCAAGTCCTGGCTTGCAAAGGGTCAGGTGATTGTTGAACTGCTTGACTGACTCTCGGGCTGATGTTGAACCTAATGATCCCAATACACTGGTTTATTAATTAAATGAGTTTGCATGCTGCTTTCCAAAAAAAAACTAACCATTCCAACCTAGGCAACGAGGCTTGTTTACATCCTGTCCCCAGCAACAGCCGTTATTGTCAGTCATGCAAACCGCTGTGTATCTCAAACACAAGCGGGGATTGTGACGAGGGGATTCTCCGAATAAGTAACAATTTAACCTTCATAATAATCTAGGATTAGAGTCCGAGCTACTGATATGTTTATGAAGATCCCAATGCAAAAACTATGACATTAATCCCCCTCCTCATACATGTAGGACACCAGTATTAACCATATGACGGAGTAATGGCTGAGCTCTTGACCAGTGAACTGACTCCCTAGGGAGATGGTAAAAGCAGAAAGTGTTGATTCTTTCAAGAACAAATGAGAAAGATTTCTGTATAATATCAATAGGAAATACTATCTCTATAATACAATACACAGTTTAGGGCACATGCAACTGCCAGGATGGTGGAAGGTTAGCTGGATGAACCTTAGCATCCTTCCGCCTAGCAAACTCTTATAGTTACGTGGCAGGTTACTGCAACATAACTGGTAGATTTGTCTGGCACTTACACCTCTTGTGTTGCTGTACAAGTCATGGCCTTACAAAAGATTTGCCTCGTCCTCCCCTGCCTGCCCCCACCCAACCCTGTGCAGTTTTTCTCAGGTCTTATTTACTACCAGTAAATAAGTGAATTGTCTGCCCTATTTTCTACAGTAGAAACATTCACAATATTTAGTCTGTACAGATTGAATCTGTAGCCTTTAGATTGGAAGCTTATTTTCTAATTACAAGGAGGAACCAATAATTCTTAGACTTTGGCACTTTATTCAAGAAAAAATGGCTTCAACAATCGTATTAAATCAACATCAGAGAAGCATTCCCTGAGGTATTGGTGTGAGGGAGATTTGTCAGTTGCAAACTATAGATTTTTTTTTATTTTAAAAAGACTCATACCAAAACGGTCGAGATTCTTTTAAATGCATTTCACATCATAAAGATTTTTGTTTCATCCCATTAGTCTGAGCTGGAGTCAAATCCAGGGCTTTGCAGGTGCAATAAACGATCACTTTGTTCTTTTGTGTGTTGACATGGGTGACTGGAGCACTTTCCTTTGACCCACCCAGTTTGGAAGAGCAAGGACGGCATTTATGTTGTGCTTAATATTTTGAACTTCTGGTCCATTTAATCAGAAACTAAGCACAAAGTTTTCTTATTTTTCTAATTTTAAGAACAGTGCCACTGTTCCCATCCCAAAACTAAAGTGCTTTGAGATGTCCTCTCGATGTGAAAGACTGTATCAAAGACAAGTATTATCTTCTCACTCCTACCAGCCCTTTACCAACAGAATACATTCCAGGACTGAAAGATTCAGTGAATCTGAAAGATAATTATTAATAATAAAAATCCTTGCATTTGATACAGTGCCTTTCACTTCTAGACGTCTCAAAGCACTTCACAGAATATACTGTAAAGTGAATTGACTGCATTATTTGTGGGCGAAACAATTCCTGAAGGCTTTGAGATCATTTACTATCGCAAGTACATGTCCTGCATACCGTTCTTGCAAGTCAAATTCAATAATCATTATTTGGATTTTAAATTCTAGGGTTATTACTCATCTGCATTTTAATTCGGAGCGGCCTTCAAAGCGATCTTTTGCAACTGCTGATTAGATCTGACCTTGTGGATATTTTATTTAAAAAAAACAAGGTCCACGTATGGAAAATTAATACAATGCAACGCATTGTCTTCTTCCTGTAGGCTGTCCAACAGCTACAGACACAGTTTTACAAGCCGTGGATATGCTGCCTAGTCTCAGTTACCAGAACTTGATTGATGTGTGCTGCTTCAAAAATGCCCTTATAATGGATATAAATGCAGTATATTGCAGGCAGGGCTCTGCTTACTGAAGGGCTTTTATTTTAATGAGTCCTGTCCCTCATGCTGTTTATGAGCTTTATTACAATTACATTGTAGTTCAACTACGAACAGCGCGGAGTTCAAACGTAGTGTGAGATCACTAAATTCTGTAACACATCACAACTAAAATGATTGTTATTTAGACCAGATCTGGTATGTTGTATCAATAAAATTATAGCTTCTTTTAAATTTTCCCCCTTCAAATTTTTCCCCTCTTCTCCTAAAGGTGTTGATTTGAATGTGCCACTGCCTTCTCCACATCTTTTGAACGTTCAAAATGCCTCCTTGGAACTGAACCGGCTCCAAGGTGACATGATTGCTAGCGGAATCTCAGAATCGAGCCAGACCTCTCTTGTGGACTCGGGAATCCGGTTCCACAGTACTCCAAGGCATTGCTGATGACAGCCCAGCTCATCAGCAGGACTTGGAAGGGCAGACCAGTCACTGGGGTCAGGGGGTTATCCCACTCAGCTCCTGTTAACCCTGTAAGCCAAAGCCCTAATGGGTATAGTGTCCTAACTGGACAAGCAGTGGGAAAGCTTGCCAGACTGTGCTATCGCTGGCAAACTATGTGGTTTTAGCTGGTTAGACCCTTGTCACACTCTGGGATCCCCAGGCCTTGGCTCCTGTCAACTTGCGCCTAATACCAGGTAAGTAGGATATGTCCCTAAGGGAGAGAGTGCGGATTCCGACAGCTATCTCTGGAATTTCCATGTGTAGGTGAGTTAGCATTTGGATACTCTGAAGCAAAGAGATGGGTTTCTGTGTGTGTCAGACACCCAGCTGACCGAAATAAAAAAATATTGTTGATTGTGTGTACACAGCAGTATTCTATTAAGTACACAGAGATTTTAATCCTTCCTGGCCAGACCCGTTTATTTGTGAAATTTACTCCCTATTGTTGGAAGTACTTCATGACATACAAAGGTCTCATTCTCAGCTTCTATGGCAACCTAAAAGGAGAGAGCTTGGAAGCACGTGATGTTTCCCAGTTAATGTTCGATTTGCACCATTTATATTTGGTTATTGAGGGATTACACATATTTACAGGTGCGACATATCAAAATACAGTCAATCCACTTCACAGTATATTCTGTGAAGCATTTTGAAGTGGATTGACTGTATTTTGTGGGCGAGTTTGTGAATTTGAAAGGTACCATTAAACATTGCAAGATACAGTTTGTCTCGCTTGACGCAAGGTTGTTGGCAGCTGTTCACAAATGTGTACTTTTGATGATAGACTGGAATAACCAGTCTCTCCCAATCAACGGAGGCCCTTGCCAAGCCAGGTTTTCTGCATTTCTCTAACTCTATTTCTTGTTTATTTGCCAAGGGATCCATATTTATGCCCTTCCCTTGCTCATTGAAGGAGGGAGTGGAAGTGAAAGAGCTATATTGAAGTTGTGGAGCCCCAGTGTTTTTCTGGGTCCAAGCCCTCGTGTCTCCCCACGAACTTAACACTGAGTGACCACTTTTTTTTTTTTTTGGAGGGATTATTATCCCCGGATTCCTACTCACTGCTTGGTAAACAGTGGGGCTTTATAAAATCTCAACAACAACTTGCATTTATAACAGTGCCCTTCACACATGGCAGCGTCTCAGAGCGCTTTATAGTGGTGGAGCCTGACGTCGAGCAGAGGGGAAGGGGAGGTGACTGTAAGCACGGTCGAATAGGAAAGCCTTCAAGCATGATCTGAAAATGAGGAAGGAGGGGGCAAGGCAGAGGGATTGAGCAAGAGTTCCAAAGTTTTGTGGCGCAGTGGCTGAAAGCACAGTCATTAATGGTGGAGCGGAGGGAAGGGACAAGCAGGAGAGAGTGGTGGTGGTGGGGAGTAAGCAGGTCACAGAGGCAGGGTAGTGCCAGGGCATGAAAGGATTTCACATCTTTGGCCATTGTTTTTTTGAAACCAAATCAAGCAAGAGCCCTTGAACTCCTAAGAGGTCAGTAAGTAAGTGCCCTAGCTGTGGGACTTGATACGTGTCAGGAAGATATATTTAGCAATTGGTTGGTCACCATAATTGGGTGATTACAATTGACCATGGTGTCCCTAGGCTAGGGAGGAGAAAAATCTCCTCCTATTACTGTCTGAGGGTTTCTCTACTGTTTGTTTATCCAGCAGCATCTAGGAAAAGGTTGTACAGGATTGTATTACGTGTACAGGGTTGGCCTGGGCTTGGTTCTGATGCCTCTGTTACATTGGGTGTTGCCCTCACTGGGCTCACATGTTCTTGGGCAAGGTCTCAGAGAGCTGCC